ATCAGACTAACGTTAAGAGAAATTAAAAAGATAAGGCAACTCATCACTCAGCGTTGTTCGTCGAAGTGTCCGAAGAGTTGGCCCAGATGGCAGTGCTGCTGTCGTGAGGATGATTAGTGCCACTGGGGCGACGACTACCTTGTGTGGTCGTCTTGGTTCTTTTTGGAGTCCTTCTGCCTTCTTACTGATGACCAAAGTGAATCCCTGATCATCAGTCGTTCCGACTGTTCGTATTGGAGCCAAGGTTGGGTTTTCATTCCATATTTCCACCGTTCTCGATAGCAGCTCCATCGGAGCCTTCTCAATACTTACCTTGTAGAATTGGTAGGTCCGACACGGTGCTTTTTGCTATGAACGGTGTTCCTTGCAGCGGTTCGCACAAGAAACCCTTTTCTTCGGACAGTCCCGATTTTGGTGAACGCCTGCGCACTCACCGCACCTAGCAGCCTTTCCACACGACGCCTGCGTGTGTCCCCCTTGGCTGCAGTTATAACACTGCTTTGGCTGGGCCAGTGGTGACCACACCTGCGCGCTGAAGAGCATGGCGTTTATGACAAGGCCGTTTCGGACCACTTCCGTCTGCATTGCCTCCGATAGGAGGCTTACCACAATTGATCCGCGATTGCGACCGTTTTTCTTCTATCGCTGGTGTTCCTTTCAGTCATGTAGCCATCGTATTCTACTAATTTAGGGGCCTAGAATACGTGCCTCTGTCACCGTCCCAATCTCCCTGATGATGGCTTAGTTGTTGGCATCTCTGCCGCCTTTAATTCTTATCCGCAGTGGGACTCCGGAAACCTCGACGAGAAAACCTTCCCGTAGAATTTTAAAATCACTGGGTTGTGATATATTAAGCGCCGCGTCTCTCTAGGACGCCGATTGAATAAACACCTCGGTGTCGTTGCTTCGCATCTGTCGAATTGCGAATACGCCTTGGACTTGTTAATGTGTCTTGGATAGTGCTGAGACTTAATATATAGATTATGATTACGGGGTAAATAATATATGGGTCACATAATTACCTGACTGTTAGTGGTCACCAGTTGGGCAGGAAGTCTGCATGACATGTTGTGTTATGGAAGATCAAGGTCACGTGATGGTGGCCTTCGGATATTAAACAGGGGACGGGAAGACAGATCACTTTCTCCGTTCAGGACACGAGTAAAGGACACGAGTAGAAGATATTAGTATTGGCTCTATAGAGCTGGATCACTCGTGGACTATGAATGGCGTATATATGACTGGATATGTGTATTTGATTTGTGTTCATTATCCTGATTTGGCGCCCTATGGGCCCATGCAGGTGGCTATAAACCTATCTATATATTTACATAGGAGGAAACCTCTCGGTAAAAACCCCCTAAGCTTTCTGATTTAATTCTGTCGGAACGATTAATTCGGTTGAGTCTATCTTGGGTTTGGAGTTGGTGGTCCCTGCATGATGTATAACAGTTCTCTTTGTAATTCTTTTATATCGGGTAAACTATTATCCGAGGATAGATACCAACTTCGTGGCTATAGTTTAGGGGAGAGATATACATAATCAATCGAACCCAATCGAACAATTGTTCTCATTACGTACTGCAGTACTCTCATAACTTCAAGTGAACCTATTGGCTTGTAGTGTATGACCTTTGTCATACCAACAAATTCTTATAGTTTGCAGTTTATCCTTCAGGAAGTACAGTTACACTGTGACGCCGTCGATGTGTACCAATCACGTCCCTTCTATCAATCCCAACCTTCCACATGTTCCCTCTCGTTCCCTGAGCAGCATTTCGACTGCATTTGTCAAGCGGAATTGTTCTATCCAACCATGATTAAGAATCCATCGTGTGATTCTTGACATATCACCAGGATTGTTGGTCATTGCTTCAAAGGAGCGATTTCGGGCTTGTCTCAAGATTTCTCCTCTACCAATTGACCACTTAGGGCAGGACATGATCATGTGTTTGGGATTTTGTGATTGGTAGCCACACGGACAGCATGGATTGTAGACTCCTGGTATTTTTCTTCTATGCAAATACGAATTGAGCCCGATATGCTCGCTTCGAATTTGGATTGCTAAGCTACTTTGGGCCCTTGTCAGGTTTTTGTGGAGAGAAAATGGCGACTCCCGGAAGCTTATTTTTGTACGTCCAGAATGGCGGCATTGGTAAAACTTTGCTGCTGCCCAAGTTTTAGGATCTGCTGAAGCAAATCTTTTAGGCTGTCGAGTTCGCTTTGTGGCTGACCAAGATTTCGCCCATTCTAGGTACGCTGCAACTCTTATCGCTTCTTTTTGTAAGTCCTTGGATTTCTCCTCTCCGCAAATCTCTTTCCAGTATGCAAGGTCTGCTCTTCTATTATGTGCTCTAATATCTTCTCTTCCTCTTCTGGGAAGTTTTATTTTAGCACATGCAGATTGAATTGTCTTTTGAACTGGTATGGATATGTGTATTGTAATTTTGTTAAGTCTTTATTAGTATAACAATTGTTATTTTATTCCAACAGATAGTAGCTCTTGTGGCTGCAAGTTTTGAGCGCCGTCAATTCTTACTCGTACCGCCGTCATCGTCATTTGCGGAGCCACGACCGGCGCGTAACTCCTAGGTGGTGGCGCGCCCGAAACCACTACTGGAGCAGCTTTTCGAGCAGGATCCACGAGGCTTTTCTTTACGACTTCCTCTAGCGCCATTATCCTCTCCTCGATAGAAGACTTCTTCTGGGGCATTTCCGTCAAAGCCCTTTTGTGTGCGTTGAAGGCCTTCACGGCCTTGTTCACGTCCTCCATAGATGGTAGGTCCTCATCCATCTCTCCCATCACGATAAGTCTAACCTGTTAAAGTAGTTTCCCCAGGATTTCAAGGTTTCTATCCTTTGGAGCTAACTACGCTCCGCAGCTATTGTTTGTTGAGGCCAATGTCGCATTTTGCGACGCGTCTAAACCGCTGGATTTACCTAGACTAGCACTCACGCTCGCCATGTTGGAGCACGGAAGGCAAAAAGACAGGAAGCTGGTAATGAAGATGAAAAAATTATAATCACGGTGTTAAATTGATGATACGGGCAGCGTGGAAGGCTGCGCAGCTTTCTGGCAAAAGTGATGTTTTTTTATCAGACTTGGCATGAATCAACACATAGGTGAAGTCTGAGATGATATTCCCATTATTTGTGTGCCTAATATATTTCCTTTGTGTAATAATATACACTTTAAAGTTTTCAAATATTGTAGTAAGGCTTCCCTTCCTCTTTTATTTATTAAATTTATTGTTAATATGCTTGGCTGGATATCAGCAAAGGCTGGTTCTCGCTGCTTCCTAAATTTTGTGCAATGAAGCATCAAATGCTTTGTTGTCTGATTTTTGTGAATAGCAGAAATAACACCTATCATCTCTTACCTTTCCAATCAAATATAATTATGCTCTTGTATTTCCAATTCCAGTTTGAACTTGAAAATATATAGATTCATATAATCTGTATGATCCTGGAAGTTAAATAGCTTTAGGGAAACATTTGGTGTATGCTTTTGAGCTTAGGACCTGTAGTACTTGCCAAGCCCTCTGCATTTTCTCCCTTCCTCTTCCCTGAGCAATTCTATTGCCAAGTCTTTTTGCTATTCTTTGACAATGAATTCTTTAAACTTCTGTTTTAGAAATGAATTTGAGGTGAATATGTATCTCTTGAAAGCCTTCTTGTTTGCCCGCCGGTGAATAGCACATGTTGTGATATAACGAGGGCTTCTCTAACTATCGTTTTAGCGTCTGGTACCGCATCATCTTTCCTCATTCCCAGCATCATTATCGTCGTCTTGGTCGTCTGATGAGCTATCGGAAGCATATATTTGACGGAGGGGGTGATAACTCAGCTCAAAGTTGAAAAGGTGTTACTTAATCTCGTCTCTGCAGACTCTACAGTAAGAGCTGGAGGTTCGTAGGAGACACTAATGACAGGTGTTGAGAATAGTCCCCCTCTAGTTAAGAGTTATAAAGAGGGGAAAAAATAAAAAATGCAATCAGTGGAAGAGTATTCTGAACAAGAGTCTAGGGCACTCAAACTATTCACATGCAGAAGACTGGAATAATAAAAATTGGATAACCTTGTATGTAGCAGGTATTAGAATATGCACTCCTAATGGAGTGCACATCCTACAATAGTCTTAGACTTATAGAGGATGTAAATGGATTTAAAAAAAAAAAAAAAAAAAAAAAAAAAAGAGTATTCTGCATCATACATGACCAAAATTAAGATTTACGCAGAGCTAAATGACGCTGCAAGAAGAGTCAAGGATATCTACATACATGACATAGTTTATACAAATGATACTCCCTTCGAGTATCGTAAAATCTGGTTGTACTTCCCGCTGCTTCTTTTTCGAAGTAACTCAGGCATGCCAGTGCTATAGATGATGTGAAGTTTAAGTCGGGCCAGCATACATAATATTTATATGTGATAGAGCTAGGGTCTTAGCTGAAGATTTGGTAAGCGGTAACAGCGAGTGCAACCGACTAAATGAACTGGCAGTCAATGTTAAAATCATCATTTGTAATAAAAGTTTGGTAGAAGATTGACTTTCTGACGTAGTGTACCTAACCTTGTCCTGAGGTACATATTTCTTCAAGATAAGGCCGGTTAAAATTCGAGCAGAAAAGATGTCTAGTTACGACCGTGTGTAAGCCACAAAGTATTGTTACGTAGTGACTAGCTCTTTTAAATTCTATTTTTAACCTTGATATTGAATCTAGTTAAAAGAAGCTGTCCTTTCGTACTTATCTCTTACGCCTGCGTAACTCATAAAGTTCAAGTTTCCCGGCGCAATTCGAAAAATCAACTAAATTGATAGTTCTAAAATTTTCTGTTTTTGTTATTTCTATACAAAGTTGTAGGCAAATTTATTATTTCTCTCCAGCCACAAATCTGAAATGAAAACTCCATTTCAGGCACCAACCTTTTCCCTTCTCTTCGCTAACATGAAAAAAATTATTAGACTATCACTATCCATTCGGCATTTCCTTTCCTTCTCAAAGACTTGGTGGATTGTAAGCTCGTATTTGCTTAAATGCTGCCCGGGATATGCAGGGCTTTTCAGTATGCATAGCAGCGGCTCCTTCTAAGCGACTTCTGACTATATTCCACGTGCGCTTTGGAATCCACACCCTGCTTCCAAGTACTGTTACTCCAGTTAGCAGAGCCAAGGCACCAGCCTGATGCATTGCAGCTATAGATGTTGGGACAAGGTAGATAAGTGTGGATATCCCAAGCGACACCTGAAGAAGCACAAGATGAACCACGCTTAACATTCCTTTTCGTGCGGCATCAGGAAGATTTTTACGGATGCGAGGGTTGAACCGGGTGTAGGCCCATAGGCTCATCACCGCACAAAATGTCGTGATAGCCATTATACGATGGTCAAGTTGAACTGTACTTGGGTTCTCGAGCATATTTCGCCAAACAAGGTCGCTGTGATCCGGTTTACGGGAATAAAATGTGTCAAGTAGTTCCTCCTTGGGTGGATATAGGCCGTCGCCCATGCTAGGAAATTGGTTATATATCAAGCCGGCATCTAGGCCCGCCACGAAAGCACCTGAGAGAGCAGTGGTAAATATTAGAAGTGACAGAAGAGCAACAGATTTACGAAATTTAGATAGAACGGGAGATGATAATTGTGATAGATGAGCATGAGAACGAGCAGGATGCGAAAGAAGAGCATGAGTTCGGAGAATGGCAAGGCCATTCCATAGCATTGTTGTGAAGCATGTAAAGGCAGTTCCGAGATGAGCGGCAAGTCGATACTGAGAGACTCGAGGATGAGAGCCGGGTGTAAACAAATCGTCTTTTAACCCCGATTTCACCATATACCAGCCGAGGAAGCCTTGGATTCCGATAAGGCCAGAGATTGATACAAGGCGTAGAGAGATAGGAAGAGAGACTTTTCGCGATAGAATGAAATAAGTCGCTGGTAAAACAAATGTAATTCCAACGAAACGCCCCCAAAGTCTGTGGCCCCATTCCATGTAGTAGATTTTCTTAAATTCAGGCAACGTCATTTGAGAATTAAGAATCTTGAATTCTGGAGACGCTCGATATTTCTCGAATTCAGAGTCCCAATCTGCTTGGCAAAGGGGAGGAAGTGAGCCGCTTACGGGCCTCCATTCTGTGATGCTGAGCCTGAAACAGATTGTTAGATTTAAAGCAAGATGGGGCTTTGAATATTACCCAGATTCCGTAAGGCGTGTCAGTCCACCAAATACTACTATTCCAAACACGCTTGCAGCCGAACCAAGAAGCCAGTAGGCGACTGATTTTGAGGTGAGTTCAGGAAAAAATCCTCCCTTGACCTTGTTTCGATGTAATTGCCGGGCGAATGTTGTGAGATTCGAATGACTAGAAGAAGAAGAATTGGTTCTATCCTGCTCATACGAATCAAATAGTCTAGCTTTTTCAACGATACCACTACTGAGCCGGATGTCCCTCCGTGGTTGCACCTTTAAAGAGAATCTAGAAGGACTTGTTAACTGAGTCTTTCTATAGCATCCTCCACAAAGTGAGAACTTTGAGTAGGTTCTTGGTTGGATGTTCAGAAGCCTAGGTGAGAACAAAGCCATTCGTAATTGTGTTATAATTATTGCATGGCTTGTCTCGAAAAATGGCTCTACTATCATATAGTATCTTGTATCGAGGCAACATAGATTATGTCAGCCGATAGGGAACGGCGAAACATAATACCGATACGCATCAACTTGAAACACGACTGCTAGCACGGTTTCTCCCTTGATATTGCAGCTACGGACCTTTGATGTTCCCGATAGCACACTCCTGCAGATTTGAGTGCATTTATGTCGTTCCATCTGAAGTCTGGAACATCAGCCCACACCTGGGTAAAATTTATGCAGTTTTCAGCTCCTTTAGCAGTTCAAAAAGTCACCGTCATTACCGCCTCCTAATGCGATAACATATTTAAAAATACAACCCTTTAGTAGAATGTCTTCCCACAATCACAGAATTATACCAGAATCCACATCGACCCTGATACCGATGACTAATGTAATTCGGTCGACTTCTCCTTATCAACGACGTCAATCCGAATCAAATGCTACATCAGGCACTGATGATGATGATGATTGGGGTGATAGCATTCGGGAGCCATTTTTGACAAGTACACCTGAAAGCTATCATCCATGGAAAGGCTGGCTCCACAACGGAAACTGTGGCAAATTTTTCTTCAATACACCCTTGGGATGGCATTTATACGTTGGCATATTAGTTCTCTGGTTAGGTGGTTGCCAGATTGGACTTATTCTCATGAATAGGATAATTCTATGGAGTGGGTACCTCCACGAGAATTATACTCATCACACCAAGCTGATGGTTTTAATAGCTGGAGTTTATAAGTTTCCTTACCCGCTAACGACCACTCTTATTGAAATGATTCTGACGCACTTCTGGCTATTGCTTTCTGCATATATAACGAGATGGATTAGTCCATGGTTATTGAACGCTGGGCTCTCAGGCGGAATTGCACCCTCTGCACCACTCAAGACGCCATCATCAGGTTTTCGTGGTGGTCCAAAGTCTCTAGGAACGAGATTACGATATCACGAAGGAGGCATCGCGGGTGGTGGATTCTTTGAGTTCGATATTGAGGTGGTCAAGGTTGTCCTTCCTTGCGCTCTCATTTTTGTTGCGAAAGTCTGCCTTTCCAACCTCTCTTTTGCCTACGCTCAACTTCAAATCTACTTTCTTGCTCGCATCGCTACTGTTCCTTTTATGCTCCTCTTCGCCCATATTTTGATGCAAACATCATTCAGCGTGGCTACAATTTCATCCTCTCTGACCGCAACTTTGACGCTCCTCGTAGCCACTTCGCGTGGAAATATGCGCGTAACTTGGGAATCTATTGTTGCTGGGATATTTTCCTCAATATTTGTAGCACTCTACCCTATAATTTTACTGCGCACCTATAAAATCCTGGCCTCACAGTTACTTCCACAGGGTCCCCTAGGCATAGTCAACGCAACAACTAACTCACCTTCCAACTTCTCGGGCACAAAGGAGGAAGCTCGTGCCTACTGGCGTCTTTTACATTACATTTCTACGATTTCCATCCTTACATTCACACCGGTTGTATTACTCTCCGGCGAAGTTAGCAATATATGGCGAAATTGTTACTTTCTTGATGTATTTTTTCACTGGCTAATGGTCATCTGCGGAGGACTAGGTTCTTGGGCAGTATTTTGGGCAACAGTGGCCTTGACAAGGGCTACTAGTCCTTTAACTGTAGTGTTCCTATCGATACCCAGGGCAGCCTTTTTACTGCCTATCATATCCGGCTGGAAAATGCCGGTATATAGCTGGATTGGTATCGGTATGTGCTGGGCTAGCTGTGCCTGGTTTTGGATGGCGCGTAAGAGGGAAGGGAAGTCTCAAGATAGACTGCATTAATACATAGAAAATAGCTCATCTAATTAAAATCTCAACACACAATTACGTGTAAAGCATAGTATTTGAATCAATCAAATACTTTTCTTTAGGATATTGTTTGAATCCACAACTGCAAATATGATTTCAATGTGTGGTGAACATTTATACATATATTAAACTGAGGTTTACAGCGTTGCTTGGGATATAATTCGTAGGGTAGGAGTCCAAAACAAAGGAAGATATAATACATAGAAGGTAGAATATATCTATTCACCTAGCTGGATACACTGTTACATCAATATCACCAGCCCCAAGGGGGACTATTCTCAACACCTGTCAGTGGTGTCCCCTACGAACCTCCAGCTCTCACTGTAGAGTCTGCAGAGCCGAGATTGAGTAACAAAGTCCTCACTTCGAAGAGGATTCCCAATCGCTTTCGCGGTCTGTATCGTCTTCATTTCTCAACACATTCCCCTATCACCACTATCATGAAGCTAACCACGATCAGATCAGATGGTAGGGTCGGAGCCCTACTCGTCAGCCACCCTTGATCATGGAGGAAAAGCCATCCGATGAGTTTCCGGAGCGTACCCAGCACCCGATACGGAGATGGTGGATTGGATTAAGTCGACCTCGACTGATACAAAGAAGGGAGATATAGATGAATATGCGCACCTCATGTGGTCCCGGTGTCTAGGCCTCGCCTGGCTGGGGCTGCTAGGTTTTCGAGACTTTTTCCCGCGCACGCAGTTTCCATTGCTACCTTTTTTTTTTTTGGGTAGAAGGTTCCGTGGAAAAGGTGGCCGAATTCCACGGATAAATACTGAGCTGAATGGCTATTCATCAAGGGGAATATATCAATGATCTTTCAAGTAACAAAAGAGGATAGGAGCACTGTACAAGGTGTGGCCTGGGTCAGAGAGGAGCCCAATGTGCTAGATAGTCATAGACTCAAGTAGTACAATTAAACACACACACACACCAGCCCCAAACAAGCTGCACGCCACATATTAGCGCGGCCCGAGCAAATCGAGCTAATCCCTAAGTAGTGCCAGTCAAGACGAGAATCTAAGAGGGATAAATCATCGATCTCTCTCAGCGATGTTCCCTCCCAACCTCTTGCTCCCGCTTTGGGGTCTGCAGAACCGAGATTGAGCAACGCCTACTCAACTTTGAGCTGGGTTATCTCCCCCTCCCGCAAGCATGTCTACATTCGATGACTGCTAATCAATGTCGGTCTTACTGAATTCTCCACTTTAGAGCCGTGCCGGTGTAATCGCTCAGTCTGCTTTGCATGTCTGTGATAGCCAAAAATAATCGCATCCGAATTGAAGTCGAGTAAACACAAGCATATGTTAAATAGATGACTTCTCATCAACATGGGACCTACCATTCTCACACGGGACCTCTGCCTCAATTCTACTACACCACCTCGCCCCAATTATTCATAAAAGCGTAAGTCGAATTGCGATCGGAAATTTGCCATATCAAAAATCGACCATCCCCCACTAAAAAGTCATGATGCTATGTAAGTCTCCAAGGAGGAGCCTAAGTCACAATAAAAAAATGTCGGGTCTTGATCTATGGGGGACAGATTTTCTATCGGGGCCTCAAATGTTAAGGGAGGAGAGGCAGCTGGGACGTGGGGCGAACGAGTGAAGAGGTCACAAATTGGCATGCTGAGACGGCTATTTTTCGAGTGTTTTCGACTTAGGGGTATCTATGGACGCAGAGGCAATGGTTTCGAATAGTGCTACCAACACTTAAAAAGAGGCAACGATGGTAGTTACTGTGGCCCGCCTCTTGATTGTCATTTCCCCGAATTAAAGTTGGGGCAGCCTGGAAACCTACCTCACTCGAGAAAGTCAGGGCCGCGAGGCTATTTCTCCGTGGTGGCTATAAACAAGATGGTAAAGGCAAAATAGGGCAGCCGAAATATTTTCCAGTTTTCACTATGGTAAATAGTTATAGTTGAGGGAGTCATCAAAGTCCCTAGTACAAAAGTCTCGAGTAGTATCAGCGAATGGACACAATACAAGAGCTGTCGAGTTTTCAATCTGAATTATCGTCGTATATAGTTGCCGGGAGAGGACTAGACTTCGTCATATCATACTCTTTGAGTCCTAGACATATGTCCGTCGGGAATAAATATTCGTTATGTTAAGGTGCAGAGATGATTAGTTTGACTACACTTCTACACTTGAACGTGCTAAATAAAGCTGTTAACATAATATGTTAAGATTAACATCATGATTCACAAATGTGATATTTAAGTTTCCCCGCAAACCATAATTAGCGAAAAGATGGGATCTGTATTGTACGATGTACGTCAGCAATTATGATAGAACGCTATGGTGCTATGAAGACTAGGTTTACATACTGATAAAAAGGTCGTTCTTGGCAATTGAAATTTGGTGCAAAAAAGGTCGATCGCTCTCAATGGTCCCGGGCGTGTATTGGAGCCTCAACCAGGACTAACCAAGTAGCCCATCTACCAAGTATCCATACGATAACTCAAATTAGTTCAATTCCGAAAGGCATCCATTTACAAAGCAAGTTAAAAAAACATTTTTTTGCAACTGGGCCCTGTTGAGGAGGCACAGGTTCGTTGAATATACTAATATCTTAAAAGAGATATCTGCATTATCAGTCTAAAATTTATCCAGTTCCAAGGAATTAAATGGCGATGGGAAAATCTTCTTATCATAGATTTTTACAGGCTAGTCAAAGTCGACTAATCTCCAAAATTTATAGGAGAGATTGTGTAAGCTTAATGGCTATGTCTGAATCACTGTACAAAGGTGATGTATACTCCGCACATGATAATATGAATGCAATACTGGGGCTTGTGACCAAAAATTTATTCGCAATCATTTCCTATCACTTTCATAGCGATAAATAATCTTGCATACAGGTTATATCCAAAAATGGTGACTCAAGTGACCATATATCTATTCGCAATATCTATAATGAAGTTTTTGATTTCAAAAAATTTCAACTGAAAGCGTTGATGGTAATTTGGAATAAGTTTTCCAACACGATTTAAAAATATCCCCCGATCTGTTGAGACGTTGTGTACTTTTATAATAGAGTCCCTCATGTATAGATAACATCGAGTTCGTGTCATAGCTAGACAACTGAATACACATTGATAATTTAAAAAAAATTGCCTCATATCTGAGAGTTGAAGAACTTAGAGAAGCCAGACTACCTCAAGCCCTGGGAATAAATAAAATGTGTGCTTTGTGACATTTCAGATGGCCTTACACAAAATTACATTGATTTCGTCAACATCCAAAGCGATCTTTTTCACGTATGACTAATTCAAATATCATTCGAATTTTTTGCTGATGATTTTCGAAAAATACCTGCATCTATGCTTTTTTTTCATAATGGTTTCTCAATTATACTATGTAGAACATGTAAATAAGATCTGGTCTAAGGCTGATAACGACGCGACTCATTGAAAGACATTATAAAACAGTTGACCGGTGAATGGCCCGTGCTTCTTGGAGGTGATGCGCTCGCTCGTCATTGAAGCGCTAGTTACGTTTGGAGGACACCAGATCACTAACATGAACAATAAAGAAACACGACAATTAAAGGAAATTTCGGCATCAATAAAAGAAGCTATTTTTGCACGGTTCCGAGAGGAACCGATAATTCAGGATGATGTGGAATGATGAGGATAACAATCCGTATGGAACGTCTTTTGAACGACGTGATTCGGCTGCCTCATCTAGCCTTCCCTACCTTCAGTCTTCCAATTCTCGTGAGTAATCAAATTATTTTTGATCAAAAAATTACAAAAGTCGAATCTACTTCTGGTATGGCTGGTGAGAAAAATGCTTACATAGATGAGAAAGATTCTCAACTTAGTTCCGGTGATTCCTCTACGTTCGCAGCAGATGACGACGACCAAAGATTCAACGACACACGTCCTCAACAAGATGCAGATTATACTGACAGCGATAGAGAAGGGCCAGATTCTCTACCTACTACACAAGTCAAAAAGAAAGCTAGCTATGAAAGTCGAATTGAGCAGATACTTTATGAGAATCCAGAACTTCCCATCTTTATTGTAGACGCCGGAAAGAGCCTAGAGATGGGAAGTAAGTACATTGTCTACACTATAAGGACTGGTGTATGAGTTTCCATGGCTATTCATGGGCGATCTGCTCACATGAAAAAGGATTTGGAAGTTCGTCGAAGATATTCAGAATTCGCATCCCTTCGAGAAGCGCTCTCAAGGTTGCACCCAACTTTGGTAATACCGCCAATACCAGAAAAGCATACCATGGCAGATTACGCAGCAAATCCAACGCAAGCAAAACAAGATCAACAAATAATTGACCTAAGAAAGCGAATGCTGGCCGTCTTCTTGAACAGGTGTAAGCTTATGGATGAGGTGCGAAATGATGGTGTCTGGTGGAGATTTCTTGATCCAAATTCAAGCTGGGTTTGCGCCTCAAAAAAAATCTAATTAACACACTGACACTTGCTAGAATGAAGTAATTCATTCCCACCCTATATCCTCTATTCCAAAATCAATTATGAAAGCACCCCCCTTAAATCCTGCCAATCCTCTGCCCGCTCATGCTTACCTTCCGATTCCCGCTTCAACAGCAAGGCTAAAGGCTGCGTCCCAAGGAATAACAAACGCCCAAGGCATGATAACATCAACTGATATCAATACTAATTCACCAAATAATTCTCATTCAAGAGTCAGACCTCCATCTATCGGAAGATTTCCAAACGACAAATTACAGTTAAGTGACGCTGACCTCGACCCTTTTTTCATTAAATTTGAAGCACTGAGTAAAGAATTGGAATTGTTACTCACTGGACCCTTGGAGAGGATTAATCGTCGAACGTTGAATCACCTTTCTTCACTTTCATTAGATTTTGCAGAGCTTGGTGCTCGGTTTAACGGATTTGCACTATCAGAGGCGTCTAGTTCCTTGGCAGCAGCGATTGAGAGAGTAGGACAAGCGATCGATACGTCATATCTAGCAACGGAGGAGTTATCAAGCTCCCTGGGTGCGAGCTTCGCAGAGCCTATGCGTGAAAGTGCGCAATTTGCGAGCGTTGTTCGAAGCATTCTAAGATACCGTGTTCTTAAAAGAGTTCAACAAGAAATGACAAACGAAGAATTAATAAAGAAGCGAATACTCCTCGAGTCGCTTGAAAGGAGTGAGATAGAAGCGAAAAGAATCGAAAGCTATCTCAGCAGTGCTAGTAATTCTAGATTTCCCAGCTTTTCAGGTTCAGCGAGTACAGATCCGTCTGTTAGACGGGAGAGTCAACAGCCCCATGGGTATAGACCTTCGATAGAATCTGATTTTCCACCTACACATGGTGATAGAACAACTGCCTCTGTTGGCCAAGGCGAAGCATCGTCAAAGGAGCACTTTGCGGCTCATAGAAAAAACTCAAGCGGAAGTTACATTGCAAATAAAATATTTGTACGACTCAGTCATGCTGTTCATGGTGTAGTAGACGTGGACCCAGAACGTACAAGAAGAGATCTCATAGGAAAGACTAAAGAGACAATTGGTCAACTCGAACAAGCCAAAGAGGTTGCCGAGCAAGACGTAAAAGACGCTAGTTATGGGATTCTCAGAGACTTGAAGAGATTTCAGGCTGGAAAAGAGGATGATCTAAGACGATACATGGTAAAGAGTTTCCTACGATGGAGAAGATGAAAAATATGCTAACTAATCTAGCTTGCATATGCAAAGAGTCAGATTGAATGGGCAAAAAAGAATAAAGAAACTTGGGATGAAGCAAAAGGTGAGATACAAAATATTGATGAAAATTGAGTAACTTTCCCGAGATAATGCATTTGTAAATAGGAGTTCAAATGGTAGGAAATTGTAAGTGTAATTCATTGATAATCAACAGCCAACAAGATATAAGTAATTAAAATTAGCTACTCTAATTTAAGATGAAAATTGTCAAAATTATGAATATCACGGAGTGTTCTGAAAGCTCTTTGAAGGAATTCAAATTTTAGAATGCATCTAAATATCTCTCCTTAAAGATGAGGTCCAAAGAATTACTACCATCTCCTCATGTAGAGAAGAGAATAGCTTTGAATTCTTCGCTAGTGTTCAGGTCTTAAGCTTTGTGCGCGATATTGAAGTTTCTGCTTGCTGAATGCAGCCAGTTCGGGTATTGATTTTTGAAAATTAAGCATGGCCTTTCCCCAATACCAACTCAATATTATACAGAGGTAAGTCCGAGAAGAGAGACAAAGAATAAACACCTGTTTACGGTATCATTTACAGACCTGAGTGTGAAATTTCCCCCTCGAGCTAAGTTATATCAAACTTCGCAACATCGAAGCAGTTGGCTCACAAGGCAATGATTTAATACTAACCATGTGTTAGACTCTACGAGTAAATTGAAAAATGTTAAAGTATCAATGAATTCCTGGCTGCTCTCTTCTCTTTCTGTTACTATCTAGATTATGTATGTTCAGAAATGGTAATGTTCTATCTGTCTCCAACTTGTTCCCATAAGCCAAGTTTCTCATGGCTTAGAACAAAACATCTCTAGTCAGAAGATATAGAGTTCTTATTGCCATAACCCAAGCGAAACACCTTTATCCGAAATAAGTAACTCCAAGCTCTGTAAACCTAATACCTAACACTATTAAAATATACGTACTCTGATCACTTGTATAACTTGATAATAGACACTGCACAGCAAATGTAAGGCGTAGATGAATCAGTATTGAATTGATATCCCACAGTAGTGATATGAGTTGGGTCTTATAGAAGTCCCCATCCACCAAACTGTGTTCCAATTATCTACTCTATTCTAAACGTGTCTCATTCCCTCGTATAACTGAGAAGCACTCTGTCAATGACTTGTGTCATCAGAGAATGACTACTCCTTCACTTGACAGATCGTCTCTACGACTCGTTGCTTGCATTACTCGGTGAGTACTAACTGACGCGTCTATTGTCCAGACAGTGCACGGCTCGTAACTAAGCGAGTCGTGTAATGCGATACTGGAGGTTCCACGTTCAATCTACTAGAACATGATCTGTTTCTCTAACAAAAACTCTATATCTAATATTGGTCGCTTCCAAACTATCCACAGTTTGATACCACCACATAAATCTCTAACTTCCAGCTGGATCAATTCCCAGCAAAGCCTCATCAAATCTAAAAGTTCGGCCTCGAAATTCTTCATTTTCATGATCACGTTTCCCTTTTCCGAGTCTCTAGCTTTAATTGGCTACTGAATACATGCCCACGAATATATGAATACCTGAAGTAGTACAAAAGTCATGGTGCGTAAGGTCAACAAGATAGATATTCGGCATGGACATGAGAGATCAGTATATTTGTACAAAATGATGTCAAGGATTAAAAAAGTTCTAAAGATGTCGAGTTACAATTCTTGCGTGGCTTTTTAAGTAGCATGGTATCTTTCATGGAATGATTACGGTTGTTAGAACGATCTCTCTACTTTCGTGCCTAGATAAGGGATTTGAGCGACTGATAGCACAACAACATTCATTCATAGCTCTGAAATATCGGGCACTCGCTAAAGACCAATGCAGCGCCATCCCTCTAATTTTTTGGGGTGGACGTGAGAAGGATCAGGACAATTTCACAAGATGATACAAAGGGTGGCTACAACTTTGATGGGCGTGAATTTTGGCAAGAGTTTTACGAATTGGGCTTTGTGCGCACCAAGACTTCGCTTGTAAGAGTGCAGCTGACACTATAAACACAAGTCAACGATGGAAGGTGTTGTGGTCCGCCTCCTGGTGGTGTTCTCCGGTATTGTCTGAGTAGCCCAGACACCTACTTCACTTGGGAAGGAGACACTAAAGACCACATTTCGAGCGGAGAAAAATAAACGGACGATGGAGGCATGTCTGGATAACTCAGGGGTTTTGAGATGTTTCCCTGGGTGGGTATTCACGGATGAGGGTTGACTTGGGGGAAAGAAAAAGCCGCCATAACTTCGCAGTGGTACTTGCAAACGAAATCTGAGGCATGAGTGCTCTACTTTTAAAATGAGTCATCTATTATACACTTCTCTAATATTGTGTCATAGCTAGATAGCTGCATACGCAATTCAAATCTGATACAAAAAAAATAAGAGCCATCCCTCTTCGCTCTGCTTCTGAACGTACCACTACTCTAACTTGTGATACTCAGGCAAAATGGACAGAAAAGAAAGTATCTGGCATGATGACTGTTGACGTCCAAGAGGCACTCAATAGTATACAGAAGGACGACTCTGCCATCGACTTCGAATCCAACTGTGATGGGCTATCACCAAAACAACAAGAACAATGTAAGCTGGCCGTAATACAGTCTATTTTCTAATTATCCAGGAAATGGTATCTATATCGACTGTAGAACATATATACATGTAGCTCTGACCCCAGGGAGATTAATATCCATCTGTTACGGTCTGACCGTTGTTTAGGCTTACAGGGGAAACCTAAGCGTTCAATTAGGAATAATTACGATAAGACTAGAAGAGGAAGGATGGGCAAACTTAGATGAAATGGCACTACTAGCCAGGAAGTTGAAGCAACATCTTAGCGTAATGGCTCCTGATAATAAATAATTCAAATTTTCTGCTCTCGCGCCTTGAGGCGCATGCAGATTATACCAGAAGATATGTACTTTGAGTAGAACGATTCAGTTTGATGTTTAGAATACTCACACTCACACTTCATTTGCAGATACCACTCGAGGCTAAGCCTTACAGCGTATAACCTCTTCCGTGCATATTGTCCTTCATAGTCATAGACTCAGTGGGTTCAATTTAATTCTATTCTATTATTCCGTGCATACCCACCACAGGGAAGGGTGTGAAAACGCGTTCGCTGTCTGAATGTGCTTTCATCATCCCACAAATACAATATCAGCGTGAGAGAGAGTGGCGTGTGGGTCTTACTGGATACGAACCAGCTTTCTCCTGTCTCAAGTGGGGTAGGTGTTCAAGCTGTCCAGAATCTTCTCGGGAGAATGTCCTGAATTGTGTACCACTGCACCATCCAACCCAGAGGTACATAAAAATGAGGTAAGATGCATAAGCATTGTGGTAGGACAGCGTGACGTCCTGACATTTTTAGTGGCCGAGTGGTCGTCGGTCCAATCATCGGTAAGCCGACACAGGGTCACTCTAGGAAATCCAACAAATAGTCTCGAACACACACAAGTCTTCTATGTGAATAAACACGATACAAAAGGTTTGTCATGAATATTGCTTTTCACGCGAAACCCTTGGGTGGTAGACAATGGGAGACAAGAGGTTTCGTATTGGCAACTTTATTTGGACGGTTGAACTCCTATGTACAAATATACAGATTCATATCTTTATAGATACTTTTCTCTTTAGTTTAGAATCTTGTGATTTGAGTACACGCCAGCTTTTGACCGCTCACTTATCGTCTTTTGACCCTCGAGTTTCCACAGACAGTACATATATAAGGAAGAATATAGAATGAATATTCTGGTGGTGGGCTAATGTATTTATACTATCTAAGGATAAAACGGATATCTAAGGGTGAAAGCATAGTCTACATAAGTAGTAAATACAACTGGTTATCTGTATGTCCGATTTGCTCTATAACCATGTCAATTGATTGTCTGATGTACTCAAATAATGCGTATTGACAATCTTTAGTGCCTAAGCTCCTGGTCATCAGAACGACTCATATTTGAGACATGCATTAATATGAGCTTGCATAAATTAAGCCATGTAGTTTAATCACTGAGTTTTGCCTGTGAAGCCTTTGCCTGCTTGCGCAGACTAGGATCATAACACCTACGCAAGAAAACAAAATGTCAGCAATGGAACCTGTGTGCGCGGGAAAAGATCTCCAAAAAGCTGCATACCCAGCTTTGCGAAGCCTAGACACTGGAATCGCATGAGGTGTGCACATCAATATGTATCTCCTTTCTTCGTAACATTATTGGCCAACTTGGTCTAATCTGCCATCGCCATATCTAGTGCTGGGTACGCTTCGGAAACCCATAGGTTGGTTATTCCACCACGATCAAGTGTTGGTGACGAGAAGGGCTCTAGTCCTACCGTCTCATCTGATCGTGATTAGCTTTATGAAAACGGTTGTAAGGAGATGTGTTGAGTGATGAAGACAATACGGACTACGAAACCAATGGCGAATCCTCATCAAAGTGAGGATGATGGTACTTAATCTCGGCTTTGCAGACTCTACAGTGAAAGCTGGAGGTTCGTAGAGGACGCCACTGACAGGTGTTGAGAATAGCCCACCGTAGTTCGTACTGATACATGATATATCTTAAGGAAAATTTTCTTTCAGGCTTTATATAACTTTTGCTTTGACTCTGGTTCAAATTTATGTTTCTGATGATATCTTAATCTTATCTGTCCCGAGCACGTTTTGGTATATTTCGGTGGCAGCATTGTTGCCAGTGAGTTCTCCGTGAGGGTTTCAAAGTAGGAAAAACTAGGTATTTTAGATACTCGATAGCCAAAAGAGTAGAGAAGCAAACCATTGAAAATTTGTTATCTTCCATTGTTACGATTTCAGTACAAAATGCATGGGCAATCTTGTAAGTACAGTATATTACCGCTACTTTGGGTTCCCACGATATTTGACAAATGATACAGGTAGTGGCTAGGTCGGGAAATTTGAAGAACTTTCTGCCAATTCGTTGTAAATGCAAGGTTATAAGGTGTGGAATAGCTACCGGTGATGTATAGCACGTTCTCGTAACGATATGATCGATTTTGGGGCAGATGAGTAGATAGAATATGTTGTGCTTGATACAGCTAAATGTGAGAGAATCACTTTTC